GCTTAGAAACAAATAGATGCAAGACTCTTGCAACATCCTAGCCTATAGTATGGAGAAAAAGAAAGCTTCAAAACTCGGGCCTGCAGTGCGGCGCTTTCTGCATATATATATATATATATATATAGATAGATAGATATATGTATATGTATGCAGGACTAGAATAGGGTTGGCTGATCGGGTTCCTTTAACGGGCTCTGGAAGGGATACAATAAAGCTGGGAGGTTGCTTTAATTACAAGGGTTCAGTTTAGGAGCCCGAGCGCTGATTGGATTGGAGTTTCTATCGGGGCCTGTGAGGGTTCTATTATTATAGAGGAGCGTATCTCTGGGTTTTGCGGTGTTTTATGCTCTACCTATCATAAGAAGGCCCTGGTGAATTCTATTACTAACTAACTAGTCAGGCTTCTAGATTATACAGGGGCCCTGGTATAATTGGGGTCCGGCCGCTATTTTCCGAAACTCCCACAGAGGAGCTTGAGGAACCGAATGAAACCAACAATAATTAAAGACTCAGTTGCCTTGTCCCTGAGGGTCCATGTGCCCATGTAGTATAGACTTTGGCCCTATATCCAAAGAGCCTATACAGGGACTGTTTTAATGCCAAACTATATACTCTATGGTCACATGGACCCTTAGAGTAATAGGAGTCTTAGGTTATACAGTCTAGAAACGAACATGCTGCCGATGGCCCCTGACATTGGCGTTGGTGCTGGTGTTGAGAATACTGGCCTTTCATGGGTGTTGGGCCACTTACTTTACATATTATGGGGGGGTGCGGGTGATAGTTACTGTCATTATGAATCATTACCGTTATTCTGTTATTCTTGTGACTGATATTGACACCACCACTACTGTACACACAATTTCAATCTTATTCATAATCGTAAGAACGATAAACACTATGCTTATACGTATGAATGTTATCATTCTTATTGGAATTGCCCTTGTTGTATTGCTGTTTCACTTCTTACCCTTAGCATCAAAATAGCCCAAAAGCCTTCTAGAATGAGGTCTTTGGGCCCAAAGGCCTTAAAATATGAGTCCTTTGAGGGTTAGGGTTACTCTCCACTTGGCATCTGACATGGACAGCGTCTTTCGTCTCTTCTGGAGCCTGCGAGGGCGGGGGAGCGGATGCTGGAAGTTGAGGGTTTAGGGGGTTACCAAAACCTACTTTTTTGTAGGGTCCCTATAAATTCCATATTAGGGTTTATAGTAGGAACCTACAAAACAGTAGGGTTTGGTAGGTTAAGGTTAAGGTGTAGGGTTAAGGGTAGCAGCTTCCGCCCCGAACCTAAGGCTAGGAGGTCATTAGGACTCCTGTGACCCGGTATCTGATTTCCAATGTCTGCAATGGCTACTTGGTAGTGGCATCACCTCGAATCTCAAACCAACTGCATCGGCGGATCGAGCTTGGACTAATTTGCGCAACATCTGAGCACTTGTTTACATCTCCCTAAACCCTAAACCCTAAACAGCTCAGCTGCTCTTATCACAGCCTAGGCCCTCCGGCAGAAAGCGTGCAATATGCAAGTGCGCAGGCGCAGCGGGAATACTGTTGGTCGTAGAGCAGAAGCAAAGCTGCAAGCTACGATGATCTTGTAAATCTCCCTTCATCACCTTTCCTCATGAAGAGGTCCTTTTGCTGTAGAAGCTTTCCTCGCCCGTGGACAAGGTCCCTATGCTGCAGAAGCTCTCCTCGGCAAGGGACTTGTCCACGCCACCGTTGCTCTCCGATGCTTTTGCGCGGCGCCACCAAGCAGCATCGGCGACCTCCCCTGCAAGCCGAGGGCGGCTGCCCATGCAAAGCGAACGCTCGTCCGATGTGCCACGGAGCGAGCCCACCACCAACTGATCCAGACGCTTCTCCCGAGCTTCTTGCGCATCTTTCGCCCATTCAACACTGCGCCGCTCACGCTCGTCCCATGTGCCAGGGAGTGCACCCATCGCCAACTGATCCAGATGCTTCTCCCGAGCTTCTTGCGCATCTTTCGCCCATTCAACACTGCGCCGCTGGCGATTGAAGAGGGCTTGATCAAACTCGGGTCGGGTTTGTTCTTCTCCCCAACCTGGCACCATGTGATAGAAACCCATACCCGGAACTTCTTTGATCAAGTATGTCAGCTCGACGTGAGGACCAGAAGATTGGAACACGTCCAGAGAACTCAGCGGTGTAGTTCCTGCCGCTGTCAGAACACAAGCTCCATGCACCAGCTGAACATCATGTCCTTCATCAACAGCCCCTGTCACTTCTCGCACACGCCGGCAAAAAGCTGCAAATGTCTCCCGCAATGGGACGTCCCTCAGCTCCTTGTGCTCCCCCTGCAGGCCATGAAGCACAACGCAGCAAGTTGCAACCACCTCGCGCTCATGGGTGACATCAGAAGCATCCGCAGCCATGCTAACTATGAATGGGGTTCTTCTGAGGTGCCTCCTGGATCCCAGCAGCGAGAGCTTTAGGGCTTCAAGGGCAAGATTTATTTCTTCGGGTTTGCAGCGAAACCTTTTGCGACGACTGTTGTCCTGGGGTCATACCCTACCATAAAATCAGGTACCCTAAAAGCAAGGGGCTAGGGTACGACCTAGAAGGTTGAAAAGCCTCTAGTTTTTACGGATGACTCGCTAACTCAGAGATGCTCAGACCCCTCAATCCAGGATGCTACCTTAAAGTATAGAAGGGGCTTGATGTCTAGGCGAGGATTTTAGGACATGCTTTTTTCACCCCCGAGCCCTGAACCCCAAACCCCAAAACAATAAATCGTGACTAGGCTCTCTGAGAAGCATGTCAGGGGCTCGAGCTCAGGTATTGTAGGGGCCCAAATAATTACAATAGGGTTTTGGGCCCTATAATCAGGAACCTAAAGAATAATATAGGTAATTATGCCGTCTCAAAATATATATATATATATATATAAGGCTTCAATATATATATATATAAGGGAATAAGAATCGGAAGTGTTGTTCTCTACCTCTGCGTCGTCTCATTGAGGACGGGGTTTAGGGATTCGGAACTTCGACTTCAGGGTCGAGGGTTTAGGGTTAGGGCTTAGGGTTTAGGGTTTAGGGTTTAGGGCTTATAGGGTTTAGGGTTTAGGGCTTAGGGTCAGGTCAGCCCCAGACTCCAAGCCTCTCAACACGCCGAAATTGCGCTGAGGGTTTAGGGTTTAGGGTTTTAGGGCCTAGGGTTTAGGGTTTTAGGGGGTTTAGGGTTTTAGGGTTTTAGGGCTTTAGGGTTTTAGGGTTTAGGGTTTAGGGCCTGGGGCCTAGGATTTAGGGCTTGAGGGTTTTAGGGCTTTAGGGTTTTAGGGTTTAAGGCCTTGGGTTTAGAGTTTAGGGTTTGGGGGGGGGTTATGTGCCCGAATGAAACCCACACGGCAGCGCATCAGGACTGTTTCCGCTCTAAGCGGACCTGGGGCGACTTCGCAAATTCATGGACGCGGGGACGCACATTCGCAGTGCGCCAGCCACTTTGCAGCTACCTAAAGACGGCTGTGCTACGTCAACCTGTAATCTCCAGGCTCCAACAACACAGGTCAAGCTAAGGTCTTTAAATCGTATCATGTTTTCTGGTTGACGGGTTAGGGAAATCTTAGGCCTCGAACACAGGCACCCGGAAAAAAAACTCAACTCTTGAACCCTGAACTCTAACCCTCATCTTGTGAACAGACTTATGGCTCTAGGGTTAAGCCCTAATACACCCCCAAACCCTAAACCCTGAACCCTAAACCCCCAAAACCCTAAGCCCTAAACCTTAAACCCTAAGCTAGGACTTCAACCTCAAGTTGTCAAGCTTTAGGGCTTTAGGGTTCAGGTTTTCAGGATTAGGGATCGTCTTCCAGGATGCTCGCTCAACCGGAAGAGATAAACGAGAGTCCGGGTATGTCGAACTAGCTCGGTGGTGGGCGCCGGTCTCACCCCAAGATAGTTAATCAAGCTCTGCGGCGAGCGTACTCCGAGTAACATCATCAGAATCCTCCCTAAACCCTAAACCCTAAACCCTAAACCCTAAACCCTAAACCCTTCTTATATTTAAGGTTCAGGGTTCCAGGACCAGGGGCAGGCTTTTGGCGTTTAGTGTTTTGAAACTTTCAGCAACTTCGGGGTCCACAAGTAGACGTTGAATAGCAGGAGCTTCATGACAAGGAAGGAACCCCAATAATATAGAACAAGCTGAAGAAAAAGGAATGATCCTCAACTCCGAAGAAGGGCTCTACAAAATCCAGGCGCACAGCCCGAATCTGGACTCTTAAGTTTTAGGGTTTAGGGGTTTAGGCCAAGCCTTTATCAGTCATCAGTACTCAACTCGCAGGAATCTACACCCTGAAACAGACACCCTAAACCCTAAACGTAGCCTCTAAGTTACACCCCAAATCCCAACCAAGGGAACGACGACCTGTAACTGGTGCATTGTCGACCCAAGGTGAGCTCCAGTTTCCACGATTAGGGCTTGAGGGCTTTGGGTTCAGGGTTTTGGGTTTAGGGCTTAGGGTTTAGTGACTTTAGTGCTTTATGGTTTACGCTTTAAGGGGGAGGCGGGAGAGTGCATCCCTATAGTAGTCCTTATAGAATCCTTCACAGCATGGCCTTGCATTCCTCCCTCAACTCTGCCCCAGGCACCAGTAAGTAACATAGGGACCGAAATAAGTAGAATAGGGTGTTTGTGGTATATGACTATAGTATACAGATAACCAATAAGTTCAGGGGATTTCTGCCTGACCTGTCCAGTAACCTAGGGGAACTAAAGCAACTAAAGCTTGATAATTTGGGCCAAATATATTTGGGATTCTATACCGTAACCCCAAAGAACCTGCCTGTTGAAGGACTTAGATAAAGAAGCTATGGCAAGGAACCCTAAAAAGGCAGGTTATCTGGGGTCCAGGCAGGGTTTATAATACCCCAACGTTGCTACTGAGAGTGTAGGGGGTTAGAGTCGGTTTGGGGCTGAAGGAGTTTCACGGTGAGGGGATCCTTGGGGATATAGACCCTCTCAATAAGGTGTCCCCGTTCAGGGGTCTCCCTAATACTACCTAGGTGTGTAGGGCCTTACCAGTTTAAAGTTCAGGGTTTACGGTTTAGGGTTTAAGGATTTTGTCGGTTGTGGCTTGTGTCTGACGACGCACTGGTTTAGGGCTTAGGCTTGGGGGCTAGAGGTTTCACGGATTAGGGTGTCATCTGTCTGTGTATGACACGGTTTAACACGGCTTTTTACGGGTTTTGCAGGGCCGCAAGGCCTTAGGGTGGAGGGTTTGGGGTTTAGGGGTTCTAGGGTTTAGGGCTACGGGTGTGGGGACACCATTTGTTTACACACGACGCCGCACATCCTCAGCCGCTTCCCTTTCTTGCGCACCTTCGGCTGGCTTTCACCTCCTTTAACACTGCATCTCAGACCTCGAAATCCCTTAACCCCAGACTCAAATCCGAAGGCCCGAAACAACTGAAGTAGATTGCCGCGAACTTGCCGTGGGATGCCTGCACCCGAAACCCTCCCAAACTTAGGTTTCAGTTTTTAGATGGAGACCCCTCAGGCGTGAGTTTGGAGACGGAAACTACACATTAAAGAAAAGAGTAACAAGGTTTCGGCTTTAGGGTTAGAGGGTTCCGGGTCTACGGGGGCTAGCAGCCGGAAACTGCTCTGGCCTGGTCAGAGATGCCTTGAGTACTGGAAAATATTCAAGAATTTACAGCAGCATCTTCTGGACATACTCAGAAGCACACCTTCCCAATATGCCCATGACCAAGCACAATACAAACTGGAGCTCATGCAGATACCTTCGGCTCTTGTAAATCATCCGTTAGGGTCCAACAACCTCGTAATTGAACGTGTACTTCCAAAAGTGCGAACTTGCAATTATTCTCGTAACCTATGCACACTAAGAAGTAAACACCAATCGGTACTTGGACCCTTCGGATCAAACTTGGAAGCATCTGCCCTAAAGCCACGCTCAAAGTGGTTGTGGCTCTTGCACCGACGGCATACCTTTCTGCTGAATAAGAAGCAGGATAGGTTGGCTTTGAGGGGGCAGCCTTGTATAGAATTAGAATTGTTCAGACCACCATCACCACCACCACCACCACGACGACGACGACGATCACTACCAATACCAGTAATAATAGTAATCATACTACTACTACTACTACTACTACTACTACTACTACTACCCACCCCAACCCCAACCCCTACCAACTACATGTCGTCATCGTCATCAACATCATCCAGAATTCCTCATCAACAACATCCAAAAACCATCATCCACGCCATTCAAAAATCATCCTCCAACACAGCTGCTCTTAACCATGTTAAGACCAGACCCATACTACTTGGTATTTGCGGCCCTTTCGTCATGTATTATCATCTTATGCAGCCTCAGAATCGACTTGTCGAGTTTGCAAACTCGAGCTTCGGATTGAGGACTTGCTGTGTTGTAAATAATGGATGTGGTCTTAACATGGGTGGTTGTCAAAATTAGGGTCCCTTTTTGGGTCCTTATTATAATACGGCACCTATTATTTAGGGTACCCCAAGAGGGACTATAATTTTGACAACTACCCACATGGTTAAGAGCAAGTGTAGTTGGTAGGGGTGGGGCATGCCTCCTACCACTACTCATCTCCCTCCTCCTCCTCCTACAACAACTACTACTACTACTCCTCCTACTCCTCCTGCTGCTACTGCTACTACTACTACTACTACTACTGCTGCCTCCTCCTCCTCCTCCTCCCCC